CCCCGGAGCCCTCAGTATTACCCCCGGAGCTCTCAGTATTACCCCCGGAGCCCTCAGTATTACCCCCGGAGCTCTCCGTATTACCCCCGGAGCCCTCAGTATTGCCCCCGGAGCCCTCAGTATTACCCCCGGAGCCCTCAGTATTACCCCCGGAGCTGGAGCACAGGGCAGAGATAGAGAGCTGGCTGTTCCCCGGCCCCTCCAGACTCAGCTGTATTGATGGAGGTCACCCCGGGAGGTCTGTAGTGATCTCAGCGGCCCCGCGTAGTCACCCGGCGTCGTCTCTTCATATCGAGCGTCTTATAGATCTTCTCTTCCTGCGCACATTCCGCTCCTCTACACAAGGCTGTCAGAGTGATTAGAGGCGCCGCCATATCCAGCCGCGGCTCCCCACCCCCGCGGGGCCCCATAATGCCGCAGACTCCATGATCCGATATGAAACCTTCATAGACTCCTATTTACTACAGACCCGGGCTTCCCCAACCACCCCCACCCCCGTCTCAGCTCTTCCCAAAGGGGGGTAACGAAATATCGTCCTCATACAAGAGACACGTGTGTTCCTTCCAGATCTGTGCAGTCATCCCGTGTGAGGAGCTTCCTGTAATGAAGACCGGTCACTGCCGCTCTCTCTCCTTGTGCAGGGTGACTGGTCTTGTCTCCGCCCCCTCCTGTAATAAAGACCGCTCACTGCTGCTCTCTCTTCTTGTGCAGGGTGACTGGTCTTGTCTCCGCCCCCTCCTGTAATAAAGACCGGTCACTGCTGCTCTCTCTTCTTGTGCAGGGTGACTGGTCTTGTCTCCGCCCCTTCCTGTAGTTTTTCTGCAGGTGGAGCCTGTTGGGCCCCTCCCACAGCTCGGTTCCCTGCTCAGGGTATGAAATTAAGGATCCTAATCCTACCAAGGAGGTCCTTGTTCAGTCACTTCCTGTTATAGGGTGACAACGCTCTCTCCCTGATCCCAATGGTGCTCATGCCTTATTACCCTGTCACACGGACCTCCAATGGAGACTACAAGTGACAGTTCCATCACACAGACACGGTCCACTGTTGTCACCATCAGGAAACCCGCCCTGAGAAATACCGTGCAGCCATTGCTGGAGTCATGTGGACAAGAAGTGTCTGTAAAGAGGCCGCAGGAGATGAGCAGCACTGAGATGGAACAAAGGATATAAACAGACAATTGTCTATAATATA